ATCCACTGCTTATACTATAGCACCACACCAGGAACCAATTTTAAATTCTCAGGTTTGATAAATATGACATGATTATATATGAAGCTAACGCTAGGTGAGCCTGGGTAAATGGCAAACAGAAACTATCTTTGCAACTTTCCAAATGTCTCTTAACTTTCTTAGAAAGTACTCCTAAGAATATTGTCTATCCTAGAAAATTATTCCTTAAATTATTTCCAAGTGGCCCTCTTGTTCCAAAGGGTGGAGTCCAGAAAGATCTTTTGTGTTAGAAACTTTGTGTAGTTGGGAGAGATTATGGGTAAGTGAGGCAGGATGTTGTTGTTAAGTGCCATGGAGTCGGTTCGGTTCTGACTCATAGTGACCCTGTAGGGTTTCTGAGGAGCGGCTGGTAAGTTTGAACTGCCAACCTTGCAGTCCAGTTCATTAACCCACAGCGCCACCCCAGGGTAGCCATGGCTGTAAGCTAGCCCATAAGCATGTCATCTGAGGTCATGGGCACCATGGCAGTAGGCCTAAAGAATCAGAACTGATTAAGCTGTTGTTTTAAATGTTGCCGTTGTTAAGCACCGTTGAGTCAGTTCCAACTCATAGCAACACTGTATAGGGTTTCTGAGGAACAGCTGTGGATTTGAACCATCAAACCTGCAGTTCAAACCGACTTTGTGGTCCAGTGCATTATCCAAAATGGATGGCCAATAAGAAAGTCCAATTTTAAGATGAAAACGAGCCATTCAGGAAAGGTAGGCAAACTAACAGAAAGCAAAACAAACAAAACCAGTAATTTTTGCCAGAAGTTCACCACACAGTTTTGCAAATAGGAAGCAAAAGTCACTCTAACCAGTCAAAGGGAATATCTGCTACTCAAAACAACAAAAACAGTCATGGCTATTGAAATACAAAAAAGAAAGATGAATTAAAGTTAAAAAGGTAATAGCTCCATAATTTGCTCTAATTATAACTTCTCCAGCTGGAATGGGAAGTTTTGTGTAGCTAAAGATGAGGCTTTGTATAGCTAATGTGTAGCTAATGAAGAATGCCTGAGGAATCCCACAATTAGCAGATATCTAGACTTTCATACAGAAGATAGGACTCGGTAAGAATGAGTAACCATTGTAAAATAGGTTAGGATCAGTGGCCAAACAGATTACCAGTCCACAACTAAACATTGTTAAGTGCCATCAAATGGGTTCTGACTTTGTGTAGGATTTCCAAGGAGCAGCTAGTGGGTTTGAACTACCAACCTTGCAGTTAGCTGTAGTTAACAGTCCAGTGCTTATCAAAAAGGACTCCAGGACTCCAACTAAATAGGAGATAGTATTTATATAGAATGCCCCACTCCATTGTTAACAGACAAACTGGAATTAGTTATATGTGTATCCAAGAAAACTTTAATTATATATCACTCCTCCTCTTGATTCTTGATAATTTAGAATCTAAGAGGTGTGGTGCTGTAGGATAAGCACCGGCGGGCTAGCCACAAGGTTAGCAGTTTAAACCTACCAAATGCTCCTTGGAAATCCTACACCAGGGTCATTATAAATCAGAACCAACTTGACAGCACTTAACAACAAGAAGAGGTTAGTTAAATCAAGGCCCTATTTATTATAGTTAAGGAGCTCTGGTAGCATAGTGGTTACGAATCCGGCTGCTAATCTACCAGCTATTTCGCAAGAGAAAGAAAGACTTTCTGCTCCTGTAATGATTTACAGCCTCGGAAACCCTGTACAGGGTCACTATGAGTCGGAACCAACTCCATGGCACATAACAACAACACTTTATTATAGTATAAAAATTCTTGAATGGGTGTACCATCTGATTATCATTTGGTTTCATATTCCTACTTTGCTCCCAAGTAAAGACCATCTCCAAATATGAGTAGGCTGAACCAGCCATAAACAAGCAAAAAGAAGCTTTACTTTTTATGGCTAGTATCCAAGATGTTAACAGAAGTATTTCATAAAGTAGTGCTTCTGTTTAACAAACTTTTTTTTTTTTTTTTAAACCATGATGTATTTGACCGAAGCCAGTGGTCAACAATGTTTTCTATAAAAGTTTAGATATAAATATTTAAAGCTTTGTGGGCTACATATGGTCTCTGGTGCATATTTGTCATCGCTTTTCTTTTTTTTAAACTTCGCTTTAAAATGTACAACTTTTTTTAAAAAAAACATTGATGCCAGTGCTTTCTGTGTCCTTTCCTACTTTTTCATGTTTCATTTTAGTGGCTGATGTTTTAAGCAAAGATTTTAAATGAAGTGTCTGACTAAGGATTAATGCCATTGGTACAATATTATAATTGACTTCATCAATTTAATGGCTTCACTTAAAAGTGTCTTTAAAAAAAACAAGTGTATGTATAATTGATCCCTTATTACAGGCATTGTGGCAAATTTGTGAGAGACAGTCTCATAAATATACTTCTAGAACTCATCATAACTTGAAAGTTTAATATCTAGAAATTAAGTGCCTAGATAGTTTTTAAGGTCAAATTATTATACATATAAGACATATTTTGTTTCTAAATAGTTTTATATTTATTAAGCTAGATTTTTTTTTTAATGTAACTTATTTTTAACAGGCTCAATTTTCTTTTCTTAACTCATTAACTGCCCTCCCTTAGTGGTTTTATTGCTATTTGCATGTGAAATTCGACTGTAAAGCTGCATTCTTGTGTTTGAAGGGTCTCATTTTACAATTATGTTATAGTTTCTGTCTCCACTTTGTAGTTGTGCTATAGCATGTCACTGATTCTGCCCCAAGGGCATCCTTCTTTGGACTCTGGCAGGTGGCCTTTAGGATACTAAGCCAGTCATTCAATCACTGTGGGAAAATATTCTGATCCCCTCATCAAAGGATAAGTGGTTGGGATGTATGCTATATGTTTTAGGAGTATACTTTGCCTATTTTACATAGTTATTAAAAACAGGAGATAAGTTAACATACTTAAAGCTTTGAACTTTTCTTTCTTATGTTTGTAATTTTAATAGTCAAATAGTTTTCTGAAATTCTTACACTGAAGGCCTTGCTTATGTTTGGTGAAGCAATAGTTAATTTCATCTGCCGGATATGCCATTTTAGCAGAATCCTGTCTGATAAAAATCTATTTAATTTGTTTTAGTATTGGTTGGCTCATAACATCTCCAATGATACTTGAAGCTGTTAGTATTTTTTAAAACTGTGCTTTTAGCAAGATAAATTTAAAGGAGAACACAGAAAATAAACTAGTGTGTTTCTTAGTCATTACTTATTTAATAATCAGTTTGAGTGAAAAGGGCATTTATGACTCATTTTTATAGTTGATTGGGTGTTTATTAGCTTTTCCTAGGTTTTAAGTAATAATTAAGGCCTCTTACTCTAGTAATTCTCTTTTCAGATATGTAGATTCTGTAAAAACAAAATCACTTTGTTACTTGAATCTGACGGTGGTTTCTTAGCTAGCATCAGTCTTACTTTCCTAGTGCTGTCATACACAGATACCACAAATGAGTAGCTTTTACAACAGACATTTGTTTTCTTACAGTTCGAGAGACTAGAAGTCCAAAGATTCTTGACCATGTCAATTTCATCTTTGAGCCTCTCTTCTAGTTTCTGGTATTGACTTAGGGATTCTTAGTGTTCCTTAGCTTCTGTCTTCCTCTTTATCTAGTCTGTTTGTCTTATAATTCAAAGGTGATTAGGTTTAGGATCCACCCTACACTGGTTTGATCTCATTAATATAACAAAAGAAAAGCCCTACTTCCAAACAGGAATATGTCTACAGGTATGAGAACCAAGAATTCGACAAAAGTTTTGGGAGGACACAAATCAATTCATACACATATTTTGATTTGTTGTTGTTTAGTGCTGTCAAGTCAGTCCCAGTAGCCCTATATAGGGCTTCCAAGGAGTGACTGGTGGGTTTGAAACACAACCTTATAGTTAGCAGTCTAGTGCTTATCCTACAGTGCCACACCAGGACTCCTATTTTGATTTAGTTATAGTGAATTTCCTCATGTAAATTTTATTATCTCCTAAGCAGAGTGTGGAAGACCTGGTGTGGTGCTGTGGGTTAATGTGCCAGGCTGCAAAGCCATGAACTGCCAAGTCAGTGGTTCAAGCTCACCAGCCACTCCTTAGAAACCCTATACAGAGTTGCTATGGGTTGGAACTGACTTGACAGCATTAACAACAACAATAACAAGCAGAGTGTAGAGTCCTGGTGTGGTGCTGTGGGTTAATGTGCTGGACTGCAAAGTGGGTTTGAATTGGAAACCCTATACCGGGTCACTGTGGGTTGAAACTGACTTGATGGCACTTAACAACAACAACAGCAGAGTGTAGTCTGTTATTGACATCACCATGGCAGTCGTAAGAGAGGGAACTTGAGTAAGTGTATAAGGAAAAGATATTGATGTGACTTCTGTTAGAAACTGAGAAGAAAACTTTTCTATTTAATGCTGTTTTAAAGATGATTGTGTGTGGGGGAGGTAGGTTTTAAATGAATGCAGCAGTGTGTCTGCATAATCTCACCATTCTTTGGAAAACGTTATATCATAGAAATTGACATGAAACTGATTAAGAGAGTAAGTGAGAGATTTGCTTTGTGTGGTTCTGTGTATTTGTCCATTCTTCTGGAGTCTTTAGGCCAGCTGTCAGGTTGGTGCTTTCCTGCTTTATTCTTTTGAGTTGCTTTTTAATTGAAAGCTAGAAGGAACGCTTTTAATGGATTACTGCTGGGGCCCTCCAGTCCTCTCCTGTCCCTACATACAACATAGCAGCTGCAGCCTGCTCTTTTTGTGGCCTTGCAAAGATAGGGGTATGCATGTAACACTCTTCCCGTCAGCATGCATTATGCTTTTATGGGCTTTCTAAAGCATGTGGAATGAAATCTTTCCCAAGACAACTTGTCAAGGCCAGTGCATATGGGGAAAACATTTCTGTGCTGAAATTTAACTCGAGATAAGAATTGTACTACCTCTCTGTATTTACCTGCCCTTTCTTTTTGAATTCCTACAGGCAGCAGTATCTGTCCAAAGATCATTATAGTTCCACCTTGCTCAACAAGCAGCGCAACCACACTGGTTGACCAGAATGTATCTGATGAAGAGGCTCAGGGAATAAATGGAAAAACGCCAGCAAAACACTCAGCTGCAAGTCCAAAGCCACAAGGTATGCTTGTTGTGGGTTTATGGTCAGAGTGGGTTCTTGTTCAACATGAAGGCTACCTAGAATGATGGCCACTACAGAATAGTTTTAATATAGAGGATTGGGTAAATTTATTTTCAGAGAGAAGTAAATCTATGAACTTTTCCAGGCAGAGTTAAGCATTTGCTCTACTCCTGAAAAACCTTATATTTCTCTAGATTTTTCTTTTCATGTTGTGAAAATTGTTTACATGTCCCCTAAAGGGGACATGATGATCTGGTCACACTTTATTCTTAACCTAACACAGAGCCTGAATTAATCTGTGCATAATCGATGGGTAACAAGTAAATGAGTGTTTGGAACTACTATCAAAAATCATTATGACTTGCTAGATGCCAAAGAACCTGTGAATCAGATAATTCTAAAACAGCACTAAATATATTTTATCTTATCAGGAACTTGCTTTTATAATATTAAGGAATTGAACTCTTAAAATCATCCACTCCAAATAAAAGAGAGGAATTGGCCACTGAATTCCTAAACGTGGAAAAGGAAAAAAATGATGGAAAGCCTTAAATAATGTCATTGTTCAGTGACTGTTTTCTTTTACAAAGAAATTTCTAGTGACCTCTGGCCATAACTTTGAGAAAAATTGTAATTTTGATGATAGAGAGCATGGCCTTTTGAAATGTAACACAGAAGCTAAAACTACATGGTTGTTTAATGGCGTTTCTTCCTAATGAATTTTTATTTATAATGAATGTTGGGCATCCAACCAGAAAACAGTATTGGGCATTTTCAAAATGATTGTACTTTGGGAAAATCAATTTCTTTTCATTTTGGTCTGCTATTCTTGCCCCCCAACCCCAACCTCCAGTAACTTTCAGGAAATGTATTATAAAAGAACAGGTTTTATTCCTTGAAGCCCTTACGTTTTAAGGATTTCTGAAAGTGATCTTTATAACAGGTCGTGTGGTGCTGTGGGTTAATGTACTGGATTGTAAAGTCAGTTTGAACCACAAGGTCGGTGGTTCAAGCTCATCAGCTGCTCCTCAGAAACCTTGTACAGGGTCACTATGGGTCGGAACTGACTCAACTCAATGGCACTTAACAACTTTACCTGACATGCAACTTTTATTGAGTAGTGAGGATACAGCATTGTCTGTCATTGGTCTGACTTAAGCAAGGTCAAATGATTTGCAAATGAGTTGTTGTTTAGTACTGGTGAGTGGCTTCTGACTCATTGTTGTTAAGTGCCATCTAGTCAATTCTGACCCATAGCGACCCTGTATAGGGTTTCCAAGGAGTGGCTGGTGAGCTTGAACCACCAACCTTGCAGTTCAAGCAACTTTGCAGTCTACCGCATTAGCCCACAGCACCACACCAGGACTCCTAGCAACCCTATATAGAGTTACTGAGGCTGTAAATCTTTTCAGGAGCAGAAAGCCTCCCCTCTCTCAGAGTGGCTGGTGGACTCAAACCACTGACCTTGTAGTTCTCAATCCAGTACTTTTCCTTCAGAGCCACTGCGCTCCCTCAGATGAGTTGCCCATTCAAACACTCATAACCTTTTCTGTGGCCAGTACTATTTCCTACAACACTGACATGGATATAAATATAGGATTTTTTTTTTAGCATGACTTAAGCATTTTACTTGCAAAATAACAAAATTCCATCTTGCTCATTACACCTCAGTTGACAATGGTCAAATATGAGATGGAAATATAGAAAAGGAATTTAAGTTAATGTAATTGCCCAAATCAAAAGCAAGAATCTCATTATTTTAAAAGCCTGTTTTGAAAATGTGTTGCTGTACTTCATTATTTTTCATAGCTAGTGTAGTCAGATGAATGTTAGCAAAGACCTTCCTGAGTGTCATTGAGCCAAATTAATCCCATTTTGTAGGGAGACACTATTTGATCTCATTTTTTTGTAGCTCTGGTAGCATAGTGGTTACGAATCGGGCTGCGAACCTTAAGGTCAGCGGTTCGAAACTACCAGCTGCACCGCGGGAGAAAGATGAGGCTTTCTACTCCCGTAAAGATTTACACCCTCGGAAACCCTATACAGGGTCGCTATGGGTCAGAACCGACTCGATGGCACATAACAACAACAACATAACAACACCATTGCATTGGTAAACACATCTTTAAAAGTATATTTACTTCCTATCTTGATAAGATTTTGTAAAATTACAGGAAATTTTCCCAGTATTAAATAAATCACACAGATGTATCTACTACTTTCCAGAATACTTTCACTCATTTGGACCTTCTCTGACTCCTCTAGATAAAACTTCAACCCCACCGTCAATCCTGACATTTCATATTCTCCCATCCCTACTTGATTTTTTTCTCATTTGCAGCAATCTAATCTACAATATATTTTACTCCATCTTTTTTCTGCCTTTTGCAAATACTACATCTCCAATACATAGCAGGCTTTCAGTAAAATTTGTTGAGTAGATTTCTGCCACATTCTGCAATTCACAGGACAGCCCTCAGCAGCAAAGAATTATCTTACTTAAAATGTTAATAAGAAGCCCTGATCTAGATCCTAAAGTGAATACGTAATTACGCCTTGTGTGTCCCCTCTCCCCACTTCCCTAATATGGTGAGGTAACAAGAGCATAATTACAATTCTGGTGATTTTAAAAAGAGAGACCGTGTTTACTATTTTTATTTGTTGTGATAATGTAGTAATGTATCTGGAACAATGTAAGGTTTATATATGTGTTCTTATTAGTCATCAACTAACAGGAATCCGGGAATGGTGCTGTCGGATCAGCGCTGGAATGCTAACCACAAGGTTGGTGGTTCAAACCCACTAGCTGCTCCTTGGAAACCCTGTACAGTTTCTCTAGGAATCACAACTGACTCAATGGCACAGAACAACAATATTAATAATATTGAGTCCTGGTGTAGTTTTGTAGGATAAGCACTGAACTGCTAACTGCAAGGTCAGTAATTCAAACCCACCAGAGTCTTCTCTGGTGGAAATCCTATACAGGATTGCTATGATTCAGAACCAATTCGACAGCAGTTAACAAAAACAACAACAAAATTAAATATTTTTGCAGAATTATAGTTTTAAAAGGGGAAAGAGCTAAAATTTAAACCAGAGAGTTGATAATTTTGCATATGAATCTATAATAAAAAAATGTCGATTCTGAAATAGTTTTGTTCCATAGTTATCGTTTATTTTGCCTCCGTTTTTTTTAGAAAATGCTCTCAGGCTTTAGGAAACAATGGCTTATTCACTTCATACCAATCCTACCAGTCAGTCCACACAAATAAATTACCGAGCAACTTCAAACATAAGTCTTTGTTTTCGTTCACCACATTTAATATTGGCCTATTTCCTGCCATGTTAGCCATAACTTAAAATAGCTTCCTTAACAATTAAAGCTAATAGTTTTTTTACTCTTAGGAACCTTGATCTGCAATACTCTCCATATCTTAATAACATATAGTCACTTCTTAGTCATTAAACCTAAGTGTTCTTATTCTTTTTTTTTCATGAATTTGAAACCGTAAGACCATATTATTTGTTGTTTAAATAATTTATATAACTTTAGAGCACTCAAACCTATGTATGTTCTTTGCTTTCAAAGCAAAGCAATCCTTGTATAATCACCAGCTCTTTATAGAGCTACAAATTAAAAAGCATTAATATATAGCCAGTTTTTGCTTTTTCATACTAATCAAAATAAGAGGAATTTAAATCTGATAATTTCAAGACACAAACTGGCAGCTAGTTTCTCTTTTCATTCTCAGTGATCATTTTGTACAGATTGGAGATTTTTTAATAAAATTGTTTTGTTCTACATGCTTTTTTCAAAATTGGCTATGGGAAAGCATGTTTGATTTATGATCACATACGTATCTTAAACCTACTTGACATTGAACTCCTGATCTTCTCTTCAGAATGTGTTCTACCCATGATGCCAATTTATGACAGTTCCTTCCTTTTAGTCTTTTAGGACACAGATCTCAAGGTAATCCTTGACTCTCCTTACTTTCATACCTCACGTTTAATCAGTCAGGAAATCCACATTTAAAGTATTACTCCCTATGATTTCCATTGGTATGAAATCCAACTATTTCTCACTACCTTCTTCTAAGCACCATATCTCTCACTTGGATTTTGGCAGTAACCTCCTAACTGTTCTCCCTGTTCCTTTCTCCCCTTAGAGTTTCGTCAGCATTAACCAGAGCAATGCTATTGAACTTTAAATCATGTGATTTCACTCCTCTGCTCAGATTCTTCAGTGGTTTCAGTTAAGTCCTTCCAATGGCCCACAAGACTTTACACTCTGAACTCAACACTTGTTATGGCCCCTTGCTCATTCTGATTCAGTCATTGACCTCCCAACTTCTGAATATTTAATTTTCCCAATACCTGGTAAAGTAATCTTCCTCAGATACCTTAAAGAGTCCCACTTTAAAATTTCTATTTAGTGCTGCAACCTGACCCTCCTCCGCACTCCCACAATTTGGATCCCCATTGATGTTGTTGTTGTTGTTAGGTACCATTGAATCCATCCGATTCATAGAAATTCTGTATATGGTTTTCCAGGCTGTATATCTTAAAGGAGCAGAAAACCTCACCTTTCTACCACAGAATAGCTGGTAGGTTTGATCTACTGACATAGCGGTTAGCAGACCCAAGCTTATCCATTCAGGATCCCCTTGACTTGTTCTTTTTTCTCCCTCTACCACCTGCCATCTTCTGATGCAATATTTACTTATTAGCTATGTTTTTATAAATTATCTTTCTTTCTGTTCGTTAAGAAGGTGGTAGTTAATCTTACAGACCAGGAACAGAAAACCCTACGACTATCAAGGGAGAAGAGCACAAACAGAGTGTGAGACTCTATCCGGAGATGGAGGCAGAGATGAGGACATGGAGAAATAGAGCAGCTGAGGACTGTAGACTCATGGAAAGAGAAAGGCTGTGTGTTTGCAGCCAGGAGCCAGGCTTGCAGAATGTGCCCTTTGGTTGTTTAAATGATTATATATTCC